CCGAAAAACTTCGAGTCGAAACGCCTCGGGGTGTTCAGGCAAGAGACCTTATACCCTCATAGGCGTGTTCGAATCTACTTGTCAAAAGGGCAGAAATGCTGGCTGATGCCTGCAGGATGAGGCCTTCAGTATACCCAGATTTATCATTGCAGCAGCGATAGTCAGATAAGAAGCGTTGAAGAAGCCTCAGACGACAGTGTCTCCTGCGGCGAAGGCGCCTATCGGTTGAGCGGGCAAGCTGGAGAATCTCCTTCTTACACCGACACCAGTCCTCAAGGCTGACAGTGGAAAGTGATAGTGTATTTGTTAGTAGCTTGTCCGTAGATGACAGAAATTCCTCATCCCTAAGGATTTCAGGGGTGAGGAGAAAACGGTTACGTTTTGAAGAACAGGATAGATTGAGTGTAGCCATTACCAGCGAATGGTCCGAGAACCGATTGCCCTGGAAATGGAGAGGTATGACAGAAAAGTCGGAAGCAGAAGATGGGATGTTAGAGTACATCCTATCCAACCTCGATTTTATAGAGCCGTTGGCATTGGACCACGTAAAGATAGTGTTGCCGGACAAAATAGCAAGCTGCACATCTTTAAGGGAAAAGTTACTCAAGAGGTCTTCAAGCTTATTTCTAGTACTATCAGGGGACCAGCTACCTCCTTCCTTGTCTTCGGGACGGAGGATCACGTTCCAATCACCAATGACAAATATGTCTCTATTGGTAGCAAGATAGCTACCAAGAATTTGGAAAAAGTCCGAACGTAATCTAGGCCTCGTAGGGCCATAAATACAAACAACCCTAGCAGTTTTTTTATTTTTAACAATGTCTAAACAAACTATCCTTCCGTCACTATCAGTGAGGAACTGTTGGATCGTAATACTGGAGGAGACGAGTGCGACTCTTCCGCTCCTACCCCTGGAGAAGCTATAATAACTATTATAGCCCCTAATTTTAGGCTTAAAATTCCTAACTCTTCGCATGTTCTCAAAATATGTTTCCTGCAAAGCCAGAATATCTAGCTGAAGGGAGGTCAATAGGGAAGCAACAAAAAGCTGGTGGGGGATGGACCGAAGTCCATTACAATTAAGGGATGCTAAACGTATTTTGAAAGACATGTTTGGATTTGGGGGGTTAGTATTTCTCCGTACTTGGGTCGGAGGACTTGCCAGCCCTGGCCTTCCTATTCTTACGTCTATGGCGGCAGGCCCGTTTACTAGGCCTACCTTCCCTCCCAGATCCGGATCCCGCAGCAGCGGACTCATCGCTACTACTTTCACCTTTACTCCCCTTGGGATTACGACTAGTCTTACTTCTAGTCCTAACACTACTTATTGACCGCTCCCTATTATCTAGCTTAGAGCAGTCTTCCTCTATCTTATCATCTACCTTATTACTATTGCCAGTTTCCACAGGCGGAGCTGGGACTGGGGCAGTATCTTCGACAACCATTGGAGCAGCTTGGGCCTCCGGCAAGTCGACGGGAGAAGAGACGGGGACAGAGGCATCCGTGGACACCTCCATCTCGATGTTGTCGGAAGCAGCTGCTTCCTCAACAGAGCCCTTTGCACTACAAGACAGAATGCTATGGTCCCCCGTGCAGACTCGGCACGGCTTTGGACAATTCCTCGCAGCATGAAACCTGCTATGGCAGTTTTCGCAGAGGCTAGCCTTACAGTCCCTCTGCTCGTGACCTGGCTCGAGGCAGCGTCGACAGATTCGCTCTACACCTCGGTATCCAAGGGTCAGGGGCACACCCTCGTAGTATACGATGTTGGGGATTGGTTTCTTGACCTCGATACAAATCTTGACCGTTCCTGTGTCTATATGCGGGCGGCCCGGGACCTTTTGCATAGACACAGTCTTTACGGCTCCGAATTGGCCCATCAACAGGCGAACAGCCTTTAGGTCCATTTCGGGAGGAAGGAACCTAATGAAGACAGTAGTGATGTCTTCATCAAGCGGGACGGGGAAAACCCTAACGTCCTTGACCACAAAACCAGTGGTAACTAAAAGGCGGCGACTCTCTGTCGACCGAAAGCCTATAAAATACCGGTCTTTGCCCATGGGCGCAAACCGGGAAACTCCCCAGGCGCAAGGGTGCGCTCTATGCCGTCCAGTATCTCGTCAACGGTCGAGCCTTCCGGAACGGAAACATGGGCACTGAGCACCCTTCGCATCCTGCCGTTAAGGACGGCAGGTTTGGCACATTTATGCTGTGCTAAAACACCTGCATTTAACTGCTCGGTGTTGAAAAACTTGTTTGTGTGAGCAGACACAGTGGCTGCTGGAGCCCAACGTGCTGCTACTTTAGCAAAGCTGGTCTTCTGGGGCACTGAGGGCCCAGAAGCGGACGAAGATATAGGCTTAGCGGGAGCGGTCCCACTAACTACTTTACTAAAACTGGCCTTAGGGGCCAGACTTGCTGTCTTATCGGCAGCAGCCACCTGACTTGCCAGACCAGACTGAGCAGCAGAAGCCTTAGAAGACTTCATGCCGACCAGCCTGACCCCCTTGAAAGTGGGCTGCTCAACGGCACGAACGTGACCGGAGACAGGCCTAGGGGCAGGTTGGCTAGACTTAGTATTAGTCTTACCTACACTAACTATCATAGGCTTACTAACAGAGGAGGAAGCTAAACTAGCCTCAACTACCATATTAGAACTTGGACCCTTGGTTGGAGTAGTGTTTTCCATTGGGACACTATACGCCCAAGCGGCTGAAGAAATACCCTCCATGGGTATAGAAGTAGGAAAAGTAAGGAAGAAGCCCTACTGTAAAGATGGGGCCAACCGTGGGGATATTGGCCCGGATTTCCCCGCGAATACGCTAGAATGCGCAGGCAGGTTCCTCCAGTGCAAAAAAAGGAGAACTTTTCTCTTTTTGGTTAAAGCCCAGTCGCTAAAGGGACCTGGACTTCCTCTTTTAGTAAGGAAACCTTACCAAAAGGCGCCTCTATGGTTATACAAAACCAAAAAGGCTAATAGCAGAAACGTCGACCTGGGTGCCCTTAAACACCCTAAAAACTGACTTAGTAGGCTTAAGAACCAACTATTCGATCTTAGCCAAAGAAGGCCGAAAGAACAGATACTTTTTAATTAAAGTTTATTAAGGCAANTATGGTTATACAAAACCAAAAAGGCTAATAGCAGAAACGTCGACCTGGGTGCCCTTAAACACCCTAAAACTGACTTAGTAGGCTTAAGAACCAACTATTCGATCTTAGCCAAAGAAGGCCGAAAGAACAGATACTTTTTAATTAAAGTTTATTAAGGCAAGTAGAATGATACATGGCAGCACGCAGGCTGCGAGTTAGTAATTACATTTTACATATACATTAGTTTAAGATAGTGGTCTACATATTACCAGGTTATACAACAATAAATGTGTTGGCAGATTTACCCTACATATTATTTACATTGGTGAACTGTACAGGATTATATACAAGGTGGGGTGGGTAATACTGCCTGCAAAGGATACAAATACAATTTAGTTACAGATACATTGCAGTAAATCTAGAGGATGACACATAGGTTACAGCAAATGGTCCGAAGATATACATTTATCTAGTGTTAAGATACCGAAAAAGTCTTTGTTATAAGTAGCAATCACTCTCCTTGCTGATGGATGACTTGACGAGCAACTGGGCGGTAATATATTGACAAGAAACTGACGTCAGTGAGTAGTTAATTCCACTCATCATTAAGGACAAACTTATCATTTATGCACTTGAAGATGACATCGACCGTGCCTTTGTAGAAACTGTTGAAATCTTTTTCGTTGAAGTAGTGGTGGTCAGCTTTAATTTTAAGGGCGGCCTCATCGCGGATTTTGTTTGCAATTAGTGTCGCATTCCATCTCTTGTTTTCAAATATGAAGATGCATCTTGCCTTCCATAGCATTCTTTTGGTCAGTGCAACCATCCAGTTTATGCAGTACTTATTCTGTTGTTTGACAGGAAAATTGTAGTGGTGTTTGATGCAGTCCCAATTGAGTCTGGTCTTAAAGATTTTGTTCACCCAACTCCATACCTGGGTGGCTATTGGACACTCGAAAAAGATATGGAAAGTGTTTTCAATCCTGTGGCATCGGGGACAGTTGGCACTTCGCATTTGTTGGTACGTGTGTAAGAAGTCTTTAGACATTACAATGTTATTAAGGATTCTCCACGATGTTTCTTTCCATTCGGCAGGTAGGTGTGAGATGTTCGCCCATGTGTCTTCCCATTTTATCGACGTGTCGTTAAGGTTGGGATTGGGCCACTGATGGTGAATGGTATTATAAATAGCAGATGGTCTAGTTTTATCTTGAGTTTGGTTGTTTGTTATAAGTATGTTGATGGTTTTTCTCCACATTTTGTATTTTTCGTTGTTGTCAATTAGTAACGGTCTATTTTCCTGGGTGTTGTTGATTCGCTTGATGAGCGGACCCAGTATGTAGTATGTCACATCGTACAGGGGATGCTTCTGATTTTTGACTGCTTTAATAATATTTGCTATTTGAAGCGAACTTTCAAAGTTTTTCGCATCCCAAATTTGCCAGCCTCCCTGATTTATTTTATTCTTCATGATGTTTCTTTTTAATGGCTCGAAATCACTCTGCCATATATAGCTAAAGATTTGTTTCTCTATTTTCTTCTGATCTTTCTTGTTGATGTCCGTTACATATAAGTTATATATAATTTTCGCAAATATTACTTTGTTTGCGATTGTAACTCTTTCCGGCAGATACAGCCATATTTTTTCCCATGTGGAGATAGCTTCGTTCATTTTCTTCGTCATGTTATCTAGGTTCTTTTTTCTGCTATCTTGACCAAACCATACCCCAAGAATTTTAATGTTCTGTACAGTGTCGTAGAGGCTATTGTTTTGGCTCAGGTTGCCGTAACTGATGAGAACTTTGCTTTTTTCTTTATTTATTTTTAATCCAGTGATTTTGCTGAACACGTTTAAGTTTTGATTAATCCTATTTATCGCAAGGTTATCAGTTATGAAAAAGTTTATGTCGTCAGCATGTGCGACGTATTTTATATTATTTCTTGAGCCAGGAATGTAGATCGGTGTAATGAGCTTGTCGTTATTTATCGTTCGTAGTAGGGCCTCTATATATATAGCGAATAGAATCATAGAACAGGGGCAGCCCTGTCTTACCCCTGCCTCACAGTTAATAAATTCGGATTCACTGTTTTTGATGTTTATTTTCGTTTTCGGTGACTGGTAAAGGATCTTTATTATTTCAATTTCGTTGTCGTTAAAACCAAATTCTTCTAGTATTTTCCATAATATTTCTCTGTTAACAGTGTCGAAAGCTTTTTCGACGTCTACAGAGAGTATGGCTAGTTTGGATTTCCTCTTGGAATATAATTCATTAATTAGGTTTAGGAACATTATATTATCTTGGATAGCTTTGTTTTTTATGCTAGCCGTTTGGGTTGGGCTGATGTGATTTTGAAATAGTTGATCAAGTCTGTTAGCGATGATGCTGCTAAAGATCTTGTAATCGATGTTCAAGAGAGTTATGGGTCTATAGTCCCCTATCTGACCACCTTCATTTCCTTTCTTGTTTATTAGTTTCATGGTACCATAGTTGAAGTTCTTACTAACGGTCTTGGTGCTGTAAAGCTTGAATAGGATGTCAACGAGATCAGTTTTGAAAAAGCGATAGAATTCTGCTGGAATTCCATCAGGACCCGGGGCTTTTCTGAGCTGCAGGTTGTCAATAGCATTACTTATTTCCTCTTTTGTGATATCTTTGTTGATGATGTTGCTCGTGTAATCTTTTATAGGTGTTATGTTATGTTTAATTGTTTTCCAGAGGTTCAAATCTGTGTTCTTCTTTTTATAAAGATTGTTGTAGAAAGATTGGAACTCCTTTAATATTTTTGCTTCATCTTTTATCAGAGTGTTGTTTATAATTAGGTGTTCTGGGTCCATGGTCTGTTTAGGTTTAATTTTCCTCTTAAAGATTATGTTTTCTGCGTTTCTTTTTATGCCTAGTTTTTTCATCCTGTAGTTTAAGTAGTTTTCTTTTGTTTTTTTTTCTAATTCATTGCTTAGATCTTCTTCGAGTTTTTTGATTTCATTTATGTTATTTTCTATCATTCTGTTGCTGAGGTCTCGTTGAATTTGCTTTAGTTTGCAAAAGTTGTTTCTTTTGATTTTAATCCAAGTATCTTTGAGTAATTTGGTAACATTTAGTTTGCTTTTAGTCCACTGATCCCAGTTGCTTAGTGTTTTACATTGGTTGAGTGTATTCATTACATCAGTTTGGAAGCTGGTGTCATCAAGGATCGCTTTGGTTAGCTTAATTTTTGTATACTTTTTCTTGTGGGGTTCGATTTCTATGTTTAGGTTGACCATTTTGTGGTCAGTGATCTTTCTGTTGTTGTTGGTTAGGTCCCAAAGCTCGATGTTATTTATTTTACTTTTTCTGCTATTATAATAAATCCTGTCCAGCCTCTCGCATACACCGTTGCCTTCCCAGGTGTATCCATGAAGACTGGGGTGAGTAATTCGATAAGCGTCTTGGAGGTTATAGTCATCGGAAATGTTTTTTAGAATTTTTCTGGAACCATCAGTGGATAGAGGGCCGTTTTTATCAATTTGTTCCAGCACGCAGTTGAAATCCCCTGCTACTATGATATCCCTACCACCGATGAAATAATTTGGTAAATTTGTAAATAGTTTTTTCCTGTCCATAACTTGTGGTGGTGCGCATAGATGTTGATTATTCTTAACAGGTTATTGTTTGTTTGGATGTCTACAGCAAGTATCCTGCCGTTTGTGTCAGTTCTAAAGTCATCAATTTTTATTCGCTTGTGAACCATGGTGATGACTCCCGAGCTGCGTCTTGGGGCAAAAGATACATAGATGTTGAACTGCGTGAAGATTTTTCGCAGGCTTCTCAAGTCCCAGAAATCATGCATGTTAGTGTCTTGTATTAGGAGGATGTCAGTTTTGCAGGTCAATAGGAGGTTAAGCATAAAAATCTGTTTAGATTCGTCTCTGAAGCCTGTAATATTAATAGATTTTATATTTAGGTTCGCGAACTTAATGGTTATTGGATAG